ATTTCCAGTCATGTGTATAGCCATTTGCTGCTGAATATTATATTTACCTCTTTAGAACAGCTTCTCTATAACACAGTATGTAAGTAGCAATAGAACTCTATTGTATAATTGGTTCAATTCAAAGCATTGCTTGTTGATTGACCTCTAATGAGAACTCTGAATAGTGAATTGGATTGTTGCCTAAAGAAGATTTTTCCATTTGACTTGGTTCATATTTACTCACATAAACTCCTGATTAGACACACTGTTTGCAACCTGGATTATTTCCATTTGATTTGCCTTGTTCTCTGGAGCTCAATTATTTCTCGCGAACTGATGGAACTAACTCCCCAGTGAACAAACGCAACACCCAATCTGGGGCTGAACCATTTAGATCCAGATGGTGCCTCAACTCACATGCAAACATGCTGTTTCTGAATTATTCGATGGAAACCAGCAGTGGGGAATACTTGGTTGATTTTACTTCTTTTTTACAGACGGCATCTGTGACTCAGTATATAGAACATCAGAAACTTGTGCGTTTAAGCTCCACCCCAGAGACTTGAGTACAAAATGGAGGTTCACGCTTCAATGGAACACTGAGGAAATGCTGCACAGTTGGAGGTCTTGTCTCTTGATTGAGACTGTCTGACCCTTCAAGTGAATGTGAATGTTCCTACAGCAATATTTGAAGAACAGCAATGAAATTCATATGGTCGATGTTTATCTTTTTGTGGGAAGTGAAAATAGGTTGTCATTGTTTGAATAGTACAGCAGTGATGACATTTCCAAAGTGTTTATTTGACTGTAAAAGCTCTTAGCGACATTGGTTATGTAAGTCACTACACAAATGCAAGTCTTTTTCTGAGCCCGGAAGTATTGAAGGCAATGCTAGTGCCCCATTAGCTAATATCAGCTAACACTCCATAGATTAGGGATTGAATCTGGGACCTTCCTGTTTTACACAATGTAACTACCCAACTGGGAAGCAGCAAAACTGTTTGAGTTGCATCTTACAGGATAGCTAATAACACACTGAAAGCTTTCAATTTACATTGAGAAAATAGATTGTGGTGGATGTGGTTTAAGCAAAGCCATAAGACACTGCACGCATAAAAATAAACTGTTTAGTTGAAAAGGGCATACAAGTTTTCTTGGGTTAAGAAAAATATTTTTTGTATTTACTGTTGTTGTAAATATTATACACAGCTTTATTAAATGCAATTAATTACAAATATTAGTTACCGGTTGTACATGCATGACTGTCAAAATATACTCAAAATTCTGCAAATTTATTTAAAGCACTTTAAAAGTTTAAAAGATGTAATTCTTTAACTGAAGAAATGTTAACATTTTCTTTTCACAAAACTATCACTTCACTGATTACCAAGCTATTTCTGGTGAATTATCTACAGGATCACAGCATGGATGAGGTGCAATAGTAGCACAGAAAGCTCTCCCGACAACCTCTGGAGGCTAACTTGCATAGGAACCATAGAACACCTCAGAGCTGTGAAAATGGCTACTAATTTCTGACAGATTCACCAGTGGGATCATCTGTTCCACGCAGTGCACTGCCTCTACACTGCCTGTCATGCAATATTGTACAGTTGACACAGATTTCCAATTAACCTCTTCACAGTTCCATTAATGCTACTTAATGACCAATGGAACTGCCTGTAGACATTCTCCAATGTTTCCTCCAGAGAATAACTATATCGCTGAGGCCAAACTTATGATTTATTTCTATAGACTCAATGATTTTTGATGTTTTCTAAGGATGGACATTGAAAGGATTCTATCACAGCTATGAAATCCTCCTATACTTATGCTGCATGGTGCAAAATTTGGACAGCAGGTACAAATGAACGAAGTGCTAAGAATATTCATGGAGGTAATAGGAAATAGATCGATTAGACATCACAGAAATTTTCTGTTAAATTTCATCCAGAAAATGGAAAATCTCTTACTAACCTAACATCTGGGAAAGGATTCTAAAAAAAAATACTAAAATAACTCAAACTGGTTTAGAAATACAAAATTCATTTATTGAACTTCAATTAACCTTTCATAGCTTTGCAGATGGGGAATCATAAACAAGTGTAATCTTCAGGCGAATTGGGGATTAAGGGAATAATTTGAACAGGAGGCACAGATATAATACAGTTGTCATTGTCATATTCAATCCTGATCATGCTTCATTTTTATTACATTTGTAAACCAACAGTAAATTTTGAAGCAATTTGGGAAGCAGAGATGTTGTGTAGGTTGTAAGAGAGATGTTTCTATGGCACACAGAGTGACAAGCTGGGAGATGTCAAACTGAGGAGCTGCATCCTGTCATATTTTTACAAGCTGATTTATTTATATTTTCTGACATTTACATTTCTAAGGATTTGTGCAGACTTTTAGCTATCAATTTTTGGCAACTGTATAAAACTAAAGAATTTTAATTTTAAGAATATTACTCCAAACTGCTTGCTCATGAGTGAATAAATAAATAAATGAATGAAGACTTTATAATATTTACTTAAGCCATCTTTGAAATTGCACGAATATGTGTTTTTGTACCTGCATTTCTGACACTCTTGATGGTACCTCCACTGCTGTCAAATATAAACTCGCTTTATTCTGAAATCATCACTTGATGTTGAGAAATCCACTACTCTCCAGTTGATCAGTGTGTATAAAGTAATTAAAAATTCTGTTTAGTGCCATGGCTTTACCCTCAGATATTGGCCACTTACTTGCCAAAAGGTAAGCAAACAGGAAATAATGGTAATATTTGGTTACTGAACAGTGCAAATAGACAAAACAAAAATAGGGAATGGCTAAAAAGCCCATCCCTCACCAGGTTCCTTTTTCTTCACAACTCTCAAATGGTTAGCATTCCAGGTGAAGACAAGAAAAATGCTACAAGGACACTCTAGCTCTCCTTTAAGTTTGACAGTACTAACTTAATGACTGGGAGCTGCTTGCTGTAATCACTGAAAATGGCAACAATATGTCCAGCAATCTGCAACATGCTTCGAGTCCAAACGCCTTAATGCTAAGGCAGAGCAGCAGCAGAGAAGGAAAGAAAAGGAAGCAAATCCTGGATTCTGGATCACACTTGAGGAATGCCTTGCCCACGTGCCTAAAGATCTGCAGGTCAAGAACTCGCCTGCTCAGTCGCATGAAGGCCTATAGCAAAAACTCACAACTCTGAGTAGACATCATTCTCGAATCGAGGCAGAGCCCCATGATAACTCTGCCTGTCCTGCTGTGAAAATCAAATCTGGCATTAAATATAGTTTGCAACTTCAACCTTTTTATTGTGGTCTTTGAAATATGCAATATCTCTGAGCAATAGACATATAGAGAAATAAGCAATATTACCACATTTTTGCTACGGGTAGATATGTGATCTAACTAAATTATTTCAATCCTGACTCTACAATTTGTTGAGGAAAGCTGAAACTTTTATAAGCCTCTAGTCATGCACCAACCTACTTGATTCATTTTGTCCTATTTGCTTTTCATCGATTCCTGAGTTTTAGCTTCACTACCCTATCAAGAAACACCTTCTACATGTTGATCACACATCGTGTAAAAGATTTCCTGATGTCAGTGTTAAATTGGCTTTGCACCATTCCTTTGTTAAGGCATTGTTACATGTATTTCATAAATATTATGCTATAAATAATTCATAAATCTTAAAATTGGGGAAATTGGAGGATATTACTGAAGGCACAAACTAAAATGGACTGCCTAATCTGCAACGAATAATCCTAAACTCATTGCCATTTCCTTATCAAAAGACTACAATGTACAATGTGTCGACAAAAAGTCAACAGGCATGAATCACACATTCTCCAATTTTGCAAACAAAACAGCTATTGTTCTAGCATAGAACAAATGTATAAATTATAAGTAAAAATAAAACAAAAAACTTTAATCAAATGACATTAAATTTATGCATAACACAATATACATATGCATATAACACCCTACAATGTCTCTAACTGATGTGCAGGGTTTGAGAATAACCTTTTTCCACTTTACTGTTTTACATAAAATTATAATCCTACCCTTTATTCCTATATGTGTGAAATATGACTCGATTAGCATTACTCATGCTTCTGAGTATAAAAGGTCATAGTTTGTCTATTCCAGGATTTGAACACAGAAAATCAAGCCTGATATTCAGTGTCACACAATGGGAGTACTGCAAGGTTGCAAGTGCTGTCATTTGGATGAACTGTTAAACTGAGCTTGTTTGGATCCCATGAAGAGCAAGGTAGTTACTTGTGCTGTCTTGGATATTGGTCCGTCAGTCAACATCACAAAGCATATTGTCTGGTTATTATCACATTGCTGTTTATGGGATCTTCAAACTAGCTGTCATGTTTCTTATAGCACTCCAAAAGTACTTATTTGTCTGTAAAGCGTTTTGAAACATCTGGTGGTCGTAAAACGCACTATATTAATTCTGGTGGTTTTGGAGAATTCTCTCAGGTTAATATTCGGAGTGACGAAAAACCAACATTTATCCAGTCTTGATTACTCTGCCTTCTGACCTTGACGATCAGTGACCACTTCCTGACCTACGAGTTGTGCATTTCCAACATTTGCTGCCTGTACAATTGCACCCCATTCACGCATTCTGATACAAACTACCTGATGTAGTACAGTAGTTTGGGAAGCAGGTGAGACTGATTCTAAAAAAGCTTCTCGCATGGGTTCGAAGAGTCAGGGACGCATACCGGGTCTTGCACTGCTAGAGGGACTGGCTGTACTGGAGTGCAAAGTTTCAGAGTGAGCACGACACAGTTGGAAGCTGCTAGATGGGATGAACAGTGCGTGGCGATTTTAAATACCCGGGTTACGAACGCGAAATATAAACAGGACAAAATCCTCGGAATTGAAGAAAACGACGAATAGGCCCCGCTTCTCTTGAGAAATCCTGCCTCCAGGTCCCGAGTTGATTGGTTGCTGGGCGTAAGCGACGTCAGCGGCGGGTTGTCTATTGGTTAGTTTCTGTGTCAGTTTCGCTACTTCCTAAATGTATCAAACCAATGTATCGGAGCTGAGTCTCGGCGCTTTGGTTACAGCGAGTTTGTCGTCAACGTTTGTTTCACACTTATTCCTCTGACCAGCTGGGGACAAGTGTCTGGAGAGTGAGGAGTACAGGGTACTCCCTACTACTGAAGCGCACCAGAGTAATGGTGGCTGCATAGAAGGATCGGAGAGGGGCTGAATTCTTCCAGTATGGGCAATGGGATGTGTTCCAGGAGACAGAAGGGAATGCTGCAGACGGGATTCTGCGTTCTAGTTGCACTTTGTTTTGGGTTCGGGTCTTATACCTACATCCACCTGAAGGAGAACGTGAGGGGTGCCGAAATGCTGGCGCAGAAATACAAGCAACAGCACGAATCCGTCTCAGCTCAGTTACAAGGTGGGTGTGCTGGAAGAGCTGCTTTCTAGTAGAGTTTGTAACATTCTGGCCACAGCGGAATAAACGGAATGATGGAGGGCGGGGTTAAGAGGCATCCGGTGATTGTAACGTGTTGGACCGTAATAACGAAGGTACTTTGTTCACGTCTGATTGAATGAGGTGAAAAGTTCGTTTCTTACACAAGAGGTTCTTCCGGCCGCTGTCTTTTTTTTTTGTGTGGGGGAAGGGGACAGTATTGTAAATGTTAATTTTGTATGTTTACATTCCCTGGAGTATTTATCCTCTTACGGCGAGAAGTTTTGAGTTCTGGTAACTTCAAATTCCACATCAACTTAGACTCTCAGGATTTCCCCTATTTACATCGAAAACTCCAACCGAAAAACGATACAGAATCTTCAGGAGTAGTTTGAGAAGATGAAAAACTCCTTTAATTTTTCTCTAGAGACTGAGATTCGCCTCATATACGTTTGATTTGGAAGGTGGTGGGTGGCTTTAGAGAATCTATTTGATCAACCAATAGACACCGTTCAATTTTAGCCTCCACCCCGGTCTCGGCGAGTTGTCACCATAGGAGGGGGAGGATGTGCTCAGTTAGATTCAGTCCCTGGGGAGGCCTGATCCTTTTGCCGTTCAAAAGTCAGCGGTCAGGCAGTTTCTGCTGTCGACATTTTCTGGACTTATTCAGAATTTTGAAAGTTGCCAATCTAACCAATTCAATATTTGCGTTATTGGAAAACTTCGGTGAATGGAATGGTGATAGTTTTAGGGGAGGAAAGTTCTTTGTCAATGACTTGATCTGTAGCGTTTGATGGTGGCAACATTGGCCCTTTGTTGGCCTCACTGACTGGTGGCTGCTTCTTTGTGGATGAGTAAACGGAGCGGTTCTGAGCCCCTACCTCCTCAGTTCTGTTGACACTACAGCTTTAGTGGCGCTGGAAGTGTAAATGTGAGCACGGTGTGACCTGGAGATTTGTCGTTTATGTGGAGGCTAAACCCACGCTCAGTAAGCTGTCAAACTGGACTTAAATACAGATTTGACATAATATTTAGCTCTTTCTGTAAGAATCAAAAAGTTGGGGGCTTTTGTGGTAGCGTTCCTACCTCTGAACCAGAAGTTCTGAGTGCCAAGTCCCACTCAGTTTAGAGGCGTGACATAATGCACCTGAACAGGTTGATTTAATTTGTGTTTAAAAAAAACATAAAAAGCTAGGAGAGGAGCTCTGTGGAGTTGGGCAGCTGGGGGAAGCTTTATATATGGGTAGGACTAGGTAAAGGTAAGATCCACTCCCTGCCCTTCCCAAAAGGGATGTTTAAGTTTAAATCAATGTGAATAGGGTGTTGTATGTACTGAGGAGATGTAAACAAGCCAGCATTGCTCCATTGTTGGTCAATTCTGCTCTCCATTTCAGCCACGCAAGGGATTGAGTCTCCAGTCTCAAGTAAAAATATTAGCTTTGATCATATTTCCAGAGTTTTGTGTTTTCATTCCTGCCAGAAACAGGCTGGAGATGTTTATGGTTTGTATAACCAAACCCAATGCTTGGCACCTTCAGTTAATGAGACAATTTCCTTCATACTCTCGAAATATGCCTCATGGGCTGATTTTGCACACAATGACCTGACTTCAAACCCCACAAAATGTTAACAAAAAGGACTTTTTTTTTTACAATTTAACATTCCGAATATCAATCCAGCATGAATACCATCATTATAAATCAATGCAGTCTGAGTTCTGGGGACTGTGTATCATTTTGAAGCATTTCCTGTCAAGGAATATATTTCATAACAATTTGAAAAAGCAATACAAAAGTGAGATATGGCTGCTGGAAATTTGGAGTAAAAGCAGAAAATGCTGGAGAAATTCAGCGTGCCTACCAACATCTGTGGAGAGATAAACCGAGTTAATCTTTTCTAGAACTGTAGAAAGTTGGAGATGTAAAGGGTTTTAAAGAAGCATGGAAGGAGGGAAAGGGTTTGGAAGAACAAAAGGAAAGATCTGCCATTGGATGGAGAGTTGTTATTTGCAACTTGTACCATTGAGTGTTATGGTCAATGTCTGTGCCTGGAGATCTAAGATGTTATTGTATTACATTTTGAGCAGTAGGGGAAGAGAACTTAACCAGGCAGACATGTGGGAATCTTCTGATGTCAGTGTGAAATCGAAGACTTCATTGTGACTCTGACAAATTTCCTTGGCTTCTTGTGTAGAAAGGAGCTGGCCATTGGTTGAGTGGAGCACGCTGTCATTACAGCTTTCTGGGCAAATACTTCATCCATCACATTCAATGGGGCAGGGATGAATTTCTCTCAGTCATGCAGTAGTGTAGATTTTCCAACCAGCAGCAAAGGCCTGTTAATATGGTAAAATCTGCAAGGCTTAAGTTTCAAAATGTTGAGGGAATGTCTTCTCTCCATGATTGATATTTATTTTTACATGTTTTTTCATATATTTTATGAAAATTAATTGGTAATTGCTTGCAACCTGTTATTAATTTGGATGGTATGTTTGTTCAGTCTATTTTCCAGTAAAGAGAGGAGGATTCCTGATGCAGCACATGATATATTCCAATAACTGGTGTGTGGATTGAGGATTCTTTGTTATTATCCTTGTATCAATGTATTGTTTAGCTTGCTATTAAGCAACGAAATCCGCTGGATTAAAAAGGGCCACGTTAGGGAGGGATGGCACCAAATCCAAATAAATTGTGGTGGTGAAATTGCGGATTAATACCATTGGAAATGAACAACAGATCTGTCAGTGTCTGCAAGAGAAACAAACATGTTTAACAAGCCAGTGATGGAAGACCTAGGGAGGCAGCAAGAGATGAGGAGGGTGAAACATCTTCAATGGGAAAAAGAAATAGCGGTAGGGATGTTGAGAGGGCAAGGTATCTTTCATACCTCTGGCAGAAGGCTAGAATATTGTACACGTTTTTACAGAAATAGTCAACGTTTTACTGACAAAAGCAAGGGAGGAGCAAATTGCATTATCTTTTTATCATGGATTAGATATTTGTTCATTTGGAGTCTGACCACTGTTCAATACATGTAGGATTGAAGATTGACCTTCTCTTCAGAGGTTGTATGATGGAGTGGCTTAAGTGATAAATTTTTAAGATGGTGATTTTACATTGGACTGAAATTTGCAGGATGCTGACATGTTTGGTCCTTGGGTGGTGAGAATGAGAGGGGCCTGTGCCTCGTGGTGAATCAGTAGTGTTGGGTGCATTCTGGAAAAGGGGCAGTTTATTGAGGTGTCCTGCAGTTAAGGATTATCAACACTGTCTTGTATTCCTCCCATCTGCATTATTTACTGAGGGCCAAGAATCATTGTATCGAAGCCCTGTTGGGAGAGTCGTACTTTAGAGTAACTGGGTTGAAGGAGTATTCTGAAACTGGTGTCTTTGAGCTTCTATGCTTGGATAGTTGTAACATTGACTGAATAACAGGCACAAGCAGAAGGAGGGGGCTGTGATGTAGCACCTTCACAACCTCTGAACGCCTTGCTGTTTTAACAGCTAATGATGTACTTCTGAATATAGTTACTGTTGTAATGCAGGGGATTTCAGCAGCTAGTCTGTGCACACAATGTCTCTAAATAGCACTGAGGTAACAGACAGTATTAATGACATTGGTCAAGGGATAAATACTGACCAGGTCAATGGCAAGCATTTCCTTCTTTCCAAAATAGTGCCGTTTGGAATTTTTACAATAACCAGGCAGGAAGACAGTGCCTCAGTTTAAACCCCCATTTAATTTGCAGTACCTCCCACAATGCACACTCCCATCACACCATACTTCAGTTGCGGTCTACCTGTTTTGTTGCAGTCTTTGGGTTGTGTCGTGAACCCATGACCTTCTCAGTCTAAAGGTGAGCATGCTACCCCCTGAGCCAAAGCTGACCCCACGTCTGCAATTAATATTTCAACCTGAGCTCAGTAGGTGGACAATTCTGAATGATTCCCGATTCATAAATTCACTTTTCTCATTTACTTGTCTTGTTCAAACTTGTCATGTGATTAATGTTTTTAGATCATCTCACCTTTTACCCTTGTTCCTCCGCAGCAAGTAGAACCTTCACTTTATACTTTGCAGAAGAAATTGAGATCTAGTTAACTCAAAATAAAAGCTGAAAGAACTGTGGATGCTGGAAATCCAGAAACAAAAACAGAAATTGCTGGAAAAGCTCAGCAGGTCTGGCAGCATCTATGGACAGAAATCAGAGTTAACGTTTCGAGTCCATTGACCCATCTTCAGAACTGGTCAGCAATTATTCCTTAACCAATGTCATGAATACTGTCTGTTACCTCAGTGTGAGACGTTGTGTGCATAGACTAACTGCTGTGTTCCCCTGCATTACAGCAGTAACTATATTCAGAAGTACATCAGCTCTGATTTCTCTCCGCAGATGCTGTTAGATGTGTTGAGCTTTTCCAGCATTTTCTGTTTTTGTTTTTAATTAATTCAAATTGAATTTATTATATACAAAAATGAGCAACAGTGAAAAAGGAATAATTGTGTTATGAGAAAGCGTTAGGAGAATTATAAAGAAAGATGCTGAAGGATTGTCCCTCCCCTCAACCCACTGGTATTTCAAGCTGTAAACTTGAATGAACCACCTCCTCCCTTCTGAGATTCTCTGAATAATATCCGAACCAAAAGGAAAATAAATAAGCAGATATGAAGTCAATAAAGGTGATAAGACTGATTAACAGTTACTGTGATGTTTTACAGTTGGCTATTGTCTTATCAATGATTCATTTTGAAATTAGAGCTTTGGTGATAATTTGACAAACGTACAGCACATTCACGTGACAATCTGTTATATTTTAACTGAGGTGCTAAAATAAACTGTTTCTAAATACTGTAGCAAGTGTTTGACTGAACATTTTTTTTTGAGTTTAAAAATAACAATGTAGAATAGGGAAAGAGAAGAACATGTTAACTTTACTATAATTCCCATTCATTCACATCCCAAATGACTGTTGGTGGGTTGGTTG